CAATCAGTTTCCCCTTTCATTTTTCATTTTTTCGTTTTATCGCTCCGTTTTTATTTAATCACACTGCCCTCCTCTCTCTCTCTCTCTCTCTCTCTCGTACGATCTCAATACGCACGACGTTATTCGTGCACGGCTCTCTCGAATCAAGATATTTCATCCAGATCCTCGGTTCGGATCGAGTTATAAAATATTTCACGAGTGACGCGGCGGCGAATATCCGTCGAGTTATTACATTCCATCCTTCTATCTATCTATCTATCTATCTCGAACGAGAGAAAAAAAAAAAAAGAAAAAAAAGAAAAATACGTATCAACGATGTAATCGATCGAATTCTCGAAAGAGAACTTTGGAAACGTGTTTCCAAAACGTGTGTATATTGAAAGGGGGAGAGGGGTCGCGATTCGAATTCCGGAATTTTGGAGGCTTGAAATTAATCGAGGGAACGACGATTAAGGCGCGTCAGTCATCCGCGACGAGACCTTCCGCGGACGAGGAACTCGGCGAACTGTGACGAATTGCCAATAAACTCGAGTCGCGATCGATGCGATTTTATTTATTCGACGAATCGGGACGTTCGTACTCTCCCATCCGTGTATTTTTTCCCCCATTTTAACGAACCGTCTGAAGCAAATCCTCGTAATTATTTCGTATCCCGTGCACGTGATATAAGGGATAACCACTGATCCAGATTGATGGACGCGTCGATCATTATCGATTTATCCATTATATCCTGCTCCTTATGCACTCCGTGGTCGGTATATAAATCGACTCCACCACCCTGTTATCCTTCAACCTTGTTGATTGCCGTACCCTTTTTCCTCTCCCCCTTTGCAATGGATATTTTCGGTAAAAAGAACGTGCATATATACGCGTGCAAAGACAAGATAATTCCTATAATTAATCGATCTTCGCGTTGGAAACAGTAGTAATACACAGACATACAAATTCCTTTACAATATTTTTTTCCTTCATCGACGAAAGCAGATATCTTCGACAGGCTTCTGGATGAAAAATCTTAGCGTTCTAAATTATTTCTATCAACCACCTTCGACATTCGAGTTATAAATCACTCGGAATATGTCGCCTGAGGATCGAGTAATGACAACGATCCCCCGTTAAATTCCCCTAAGTATATATATATATATATATCGAGAGAGACTCGATACCAGCCACCCTCGTCCTCCCAGGAGATTGACAGGGGACGATAAACTTGGAAGCCACGCAAGTCCATCGCATCTTCGATCGAGGGTGAAGAAGTACGTGTACGAAACGAAAGGGGGCGCGAGGAATTTCTCGGTAATTAAATTGGAAGAAGGGGTGGGGAGGAAGGGATTGATAACGACCTCGGGTTATCACAGTCCCGATAAAGGGAGGCCGCGACTCGACTCGTCCCGACTCGGTCTTGGCCACCCGCCATTTTTCATTTTCTAATACGGGGAAATGGTCCATCGGCCGGCCGATAAAAACCTTGGGGTGAAACTTTTTTCCGGACCGAGAGGGGGGGGGGGGCTTCTCTTCTATATATCGACTTTTTTCGCTGGGGTTTCGTCGCGAAAAATGTATATTTCCGCGATATCGGATATTTTCCACGTTTTAATTTTTTTTTTAAATCCTTCGCATTTTTTTTTTTTTTTTTTTTTTTTTTTTTTGTAGTTGAGAACGAAAATCCCGTTCGATCGGAGCGCGGATCTATACTACTTGGAAGGATTTATCGAGGAGTTAACGAGGAGTTTAACGTGGATCGTGGGGGATCGCCTTGTTTTTTTTTCTTGTTATCTGTGTAATTAAGAGATATCTCGTTTTCCTTTTTCATCCGTTCGATGGGATTTCAATTCAGCGGCGATTGGAACGCGACTCGTCCGAGATTTGACGAATATTAAATTATTGTTTCCCGTTTTTGCGCCGTTGGACGATATCGATAATAATAACGATATCCCAATAACTTTATCCACCGCTTTTACATCCGTGGATCCGTTTCACTTTTACATGCCACGGGGTGGGCACGTACCACGTCGTAATTACTGTCGCTTCGCGGACACGCAAAATGCAAATGACTGCGGGAAAATCAATAAATCGGCGCGTTTCGACGCATTAGTCAAACAGACAGGAACGTTGATACGTAATGTCAGCACGCGTGCTTGGCGTTTAAAATAGAAACCGTTGATTAAACGTGACGCCCGATTCTTGTAAATTTGCAACCCCCTTTTATCCTATCCTGGATATCAGAAAC